GTTCTTATTTATGAGCCCCACCACTGTCATATTGTCCACAAATTTAAGAATTGTGTTGGTGTTATACAGTGGGGTGCAATCATGTATGTACAGGGAATAGAGGAAGGGACACACAGCACACAGCCCTGGGTAGCTCCTGTACTTAGTACCAGGGTAGAAGAATGGTGAGATCCCATCCTCATTGACTGTGGCCTATCTGTTGATGGTAGATTCCAATGATGTACTATAGATAGTAGGTGCTGGAATAATGGTTGTTCCTGTTTCCACCTCAAAACGGCTGAAGAATTGATTTAACTGCTCAGCCAAAAAAATCAGTGCTGCTGAACAGACTGTTTTTGTTACTCTGCCCCGTGATTTGTCGCAGTCCACTCAGTGCTGCTGAACAGACTGTTTTTGTTAATCTGCCCCATGATTTGTCGCAGTCCATGCCATACCCAACAAGTGTCAGAGCTCTCAAGATGTTGCGCAATCCTCTGACTGTACATAGCTTTGGCGTCCCTAATACTCTTTCTTCTGACATTTGTGTTTTGATAATGTCATATGCTTTCCATCATCTTTTAAAGCTCTTGAAAAGAATTTTTAAACAATAAATGACTAAAGGTTCACTTTCATTCTTTTTCTTTATTAACAACATTCAAACCTGCGTTTTAAAAGTATTCCCCTGAGTCAAGGCTACATGCATAATTAAATTAGGATAAGAGGTGGGCCTCGCACATATGCTGTAACACATGTGCAATAACAGGCCGGTGGTTGAATAGGAAAAAGGAAATCTATGCCTTTTGCACTGCCAATGGTTTGGAGAGAGGTAGCAGATGAAAGCAGCAATTGATCTATTCCTTTTGCACTGCCAATGGTTTGGAGAGAGGTAGCAGCAATTATTACATCTCCATGGTGCCTCCAGTTGGCAAAGATGTATCAAAAAAGAAAAAGTGGACTCTGCATTATAAAAAGAGTCTTAAAGTTGTTTTGCTGCACAGTGGCAATATTTTGCTATCAATTCCAGCTGGCCATGCAGTCCATATGAAGGAAATGCTTGACAACATGAAACAAATTTTGAGGTGCATAAACTATGAACAACGCTAGTGGCAGCTTTGTGGCGATTTGAAGATTGTTGCTCTCTTGCTTGGTCTGCAGACTGGATAGATAGACAAAAGTACTTTTTCCTCCGCAAATGGGATAGTCGTGCAAGAGATTCCCATTACATCAAGATAGATTGGCCACTCCAACAGTCATTGGAGCCTAGGAGGAAAAATGTTCAGCATCCACCACTTGCTGAATCAAGGAAGATTTTGTCACTGCCGTTACACATCAAGCTGGATTTGATGAAGAACGGTGTCATGGTGTGGGTATAGCCAGCCTCTGGCGATACAGAGATGGCAGTGGCTGGGTTCCCTGGCACAAACTCCATAGGCTCAGCTTCAGGGTTTAAACATAGGCATGCTTTAGTTACAGTTCTATTACAGC